CGACAGAATGTACTTTTATAGCAGCTCGAATTAGTTTTTATTAGAGAAGCTTTGTGCGATTTCCGTTTATAAACGGCGGACACTCTTTCTCGCCCTTTCAGACCGCTCCCTATTAGCTTTCGCTAATATTTGAATCTAATACTAAGTCCGGATAATTCAGTCTTGTCTTTACTCTTTCATCACAGCAGCTTTAAAAGTTGGTGGAAGAAAGGGTTTAGTCCTGTGTATGTTGAATTTTCGACTTAAAGAGACCGACTGCTCCCTATCCAACTGATTGATAATAATTCTTAAGCACTTCCATGTATTTTACTCAAGAACTGCTCGGAGTAGTGGTAGTGCACTATTCTAAAATTGCACTGAATGAAGCTCTGGAACTAGGTTGTTCAAAGTTGGCCAGCTTTAATTGAACTCTTTTAAAAATATAAAATTCCCTGGAGAGGGTAACTCGCTTTAAATTGGGCGAAATGAAATACTCAAGAAAATACATTTTGTGACGCTCATTTTACACCTGGGTCATCGGATACACCTCTATTATTCTCTTAAGGGAGTATTAAATTAACTCTAAAAACTTTCAATGAAAGCGTACTTAGAGAAAACACTAATTTTTCAGGAATGCGAAAAAATTCATTGTCAAGTAGCATCTGAAAATAATTTTACATGTCAATGTCTAAAAATCGTCCACATTGCGTTACCTATTGAATCATCTAAGTTTTTTGCTCCCGGAGAAATATTTTTTTATTATTATTATTTCAAAAAAAAACCTTCAGAAAATCTAAGGATCATCTTATGAACTGACAAAAAAGCACAAAAAATCACGGTAAAATTAAATTTTTCAAAGGGCTAGAGGAACTTCTGCCTTCTTGCCACCACCCCTCCCCCGAAAAATTACGCCACTGCTTGTTTTAAATGTTCAATCGTTATCATTTCTTTTTGAATTTTAACGGTAGCTTTCGAAACCCAATACTTACCCTCACCCATGTGTTAGGAATTTCTGTCTGGAATTTTCACCCGTCACGGGCCGTGATTACGTGAATCTATTTACTACAGATTCGCAATTAGTTTGAAAGCCTCCATTGTCTAAACCTAACGGAGAGCCGAAATCACTGTTCTCTCGGCAAGCATTGTCGCCACAAAGGCCCATCCGGTCCGGAACATGGAGAATCAATCGCGTAAATGCTCTTGCTCCGAGGTTCTCCATTCGCCAGACGATTGAACGTCCAAGTCAAAGGCCCATCCGGTCCGGAACATGGAGAATCAATCGCGTAAATGCTCTTGCTCCGAGGTTCTCCATTCGCCAGACGATTGAACGTCCAAGTGCCCCTCCATAGTAACCTAAACTGCCTTCAAGATCACACAATACCCGATCTTTGCACGATGTTACAAATGGACGACATTTTGCAGTCAGGAATTACAATTTCTGGTTCGCCTGTAAAAACACTCAAATGCATAGGGAAACTAATGGTACATACATTTACATTGTTTCTAAACAGAGCCAGATATTGTAGTACTCAATTGCAAAATGTAGTCCGAATCGTGGTTTACAATGCCTCTGTGCCAAGGAACTTACAGTGTAAGCTCTCAGACGCTGCCAAATTGCCCTTGAAAAGTAACGAATTTTAATAAAAAAACAATTATAAATATTTTTGAAAAATTGATTATGTACAAATATGTACCCGAGTCTAACTTGTCTTACGCTTGCTTGGAACCTATGTTGATGCCGACAGCTATTTGTTTTTGGTTCGTATGAAAAACCTTTATTAATCGGAAAATTCAGCCCTCAAAACTCCAACCCCCATGTTTACAGCGAAGATGGAGGAGTTCTGACTTTGAATTTTCGTTTCATCCTATCAATGCCTTTTAGAACTTTTGAGTATATGCTATCTTTGGATTTAAAAAGGGGAGAAAAAGAAGAACAAATACTTTTGACGCACCATAAGCTCATATGATTTTTTCGACACGTGTGCAGATCAGCCCCGAATAAAGGTCCTCTCCCGCCTCGAGGTTTCAAGACGTTTACCTCTACCTTGCCTCGCGAATTTCCGCGACGATTTTCCCGGAAGAATAAAGTTCTCGAAAGTTCATTCGTCCGGATGACCGAGGTTGCCAAGTCTCTCGGGAAAGTTACGCGCGCGACTGATAACCCCGGCGACTCCTCACTGAAAAAAAATTCTCCGCGTTTTTACCAAGGTCCGTTGGTACCTTTACCATCTCACTTTTTTTTACCAATAATTGGTAGTTTTACCAATACAGACTGGTAAGTTTACCTAAAAACCGGTATTTTTACTTTTTTTTTCAGGTATAAGAATACCACTTTTATTGGTAATCAATTCCCGGTAACTTTGCCATTTTATCTCGGTAATTTCACCACAGTCGATAAAAAATATTGGCGTTGTTACCAAGGTCCAGTACAATTACCGAGAAAGTTCAGTAATCTCGGTAAAATTACCAATTCCATAAATGGTAATTTTACCAAGAAAAAACTGGGATCAAATAGAACCCTGAATTCTTGGTAATTTTACCCTTTTCTTAGTAAATACACGGAGATTTTTTTTTTTCAGTGTGATAACCCCCGCGACTCTTCCATAATGCCGTGCTGAGGAAGAACGCCGTATGAACATTCGAGAGTTATCAAATTTTCTTCTATATAGTGTACATTTTTTAGGAAAGTTATAAATATTTTTCTTTCAAATTTTCGGAACTTCAGATGAAATTGCGAGCCAAATTATCCGTAAAGTTGGAAAAAAATGTTCATGAGTTTATCAGGAAATTCGTGTTTAATCAACGACAATTTGGCAACGCCCGGAGGTTTATACGACGTTTTTCCTTAGCACGGCAGCATCGGCCAAGTCGGACAACGATCCGAGGCATCAATAAATCCGAGACACTTGGAGCGGGAGGCGGAGGAGCATGGAGCACGAGGGTAGTTTTGTAGCGTCCCCCGTTCTCATTAACCCTTGTCTCCGTGTGTCAGTCCTGTTTAAGCTCCGCCGTTATTATTTCTAATGAAAGTTAACTTATATCGGCTCCACCCTCCCCGTCGCCATCGCCACTGTCGGCCATTATCAGTCTTGTTGCGCTCGCTGTAATCCGCTGAATCTTTGATGACAGTCGCACCGGTGAGCGTGTTAATCTCTCCTCCTCTCCCTTGTTGCCGCCGGAGACAATGTACGGTTGCAACCCCCGCTTTAACGAATCTAAACAATGTAATCGGGCAAGGCGAAAGTAAAGTTCGGAGGGCAACGCCGCACAGTGGGTCGAGTCAATGGAAGAGGTAGGACATGATTTCAAAACTTTAAAAGCGTATGTCTTTATAGATATGAAATGTTGATGTTTTAAAAGTAGTTTCATCGGTTTTCTCGTAAAATTTCCTGTGTTAAGCAACCCTGAAAATTTTGACGAGACAAACGTAAAATTTTAAAATTTTTGTGAAAAATTTCATGTCCGACCTATATTCCAAAGACTCGTTCCACTGTGCGCCATTTTTCGCCCGACGATAATTGATCTGCAACCTGTTGAGCTTGAATTTCCCTAAATGATGACCGATGAATGTCGGGGTGCGTTGCCATTCAAAAGACGAAATGGCGCCACGCTGTTGAAGGGTGATGCATCCGTTAATATTGCTGCCGTGATAGTAGAGGCGTAACTCGCAAATTTTTCGAAACCGAGATCATTTCAAAACTCGTCGAATCTCGTTTAGATAAACTCACTGAAAGAGCTCAAACAGCACGATTCGTGCTATTAGTGTGAAAAACAGATACGTCAGTAAGCTGTAAGTGCGTAAAAATTGACTTTGTTTCAGACAAAATAGCCGCGAAGACCATTATTCCGTCAGAGAGCCAATGAGAGCGGTACTTTCAAGTAAAGCGGCGCCCTTTTCTGCCAATTTCTAACCTTCATTTGTTTGTTGTATGTCCAAAACACAACAAAAAACACACGCACAACAAATCACTTTCGGCTGTCTTGCCTAAAACTAGCCTGACATGAAAATGAAAAATACCCTTTTCATAAATTGGGTTAACCCATGCAGGTTGGTCGAATTCGTCGATTTTTAATCATCCAAATGATTCTTTGAGTCTTCCGGATGATTGGTGGGAATTCAACAAAAAACGGAGGCTTCTTTCAATAAAATGTTCAGCTCACACGCTACTGAGCCCATCTTCTCAACACCTCATTTATTTTGAACTTATGGCTCTTTTTGCTATCACGGCAGATCTGTCGTTGAATTCCGGTGTTTGGGCGGATCTTGTTATTTTTTTGCTGGTCTGGAATCTGTTACCTGAAATCATGAATCCTCAATTTTGCGACTAGCGCAACAGTCCCGTTTCTACAAGTAAAATTAAATGAGAGTAATGAATATGACACCCTAAGCCTGCTCAAGGCTAAAACAAAGTTGAAAAAAAGTTCAACAAACACCACAGCTTACGCTCAAGGATGAAGAGACTACTCCAGCAGAACAGAGCGTTTAAAAAATGAAAAAGCCGAAATGGAATAAATAATTGGAATTTATAAAGCTCCAATAGTTCACGACTCGCTTCTGCTTCGGTGCCTCAGTAAGTCTCAGCAGAAAGCAATTATTATAGATCAGTCAAGTATCGGCGCTCCGATGGTGCCGAGTCTCCAGATCTTACACATTTTATCAACTCGGTTTTATCTTAATCCTAGTCAAGCGAGCGTTTATCGAAGTTTGTTGAACGGCATCATCTACATTTATTTCGCACTTGAGGAACTCAATGAGGCACTGTGAAGACCTGCGGCACCTGCGGGCTGATTATTGAAATTGATAAACAAAGCTATAGACAAAGAAGTCATAGGAGTATAGAGCTATTCTATTGGTTGAAATGGGTGGTTCCAATGGGTGATATTAACCAAACTTTTGTGTTGAAATTTTTCTGTGTGTTGTGAAGGTTAAATAGAAAATTCTTGGTTCTTGCAACAGCTCCATCGTTGCATTCGCGTCGCTAAAACGCGTGAACTAAACGTCATTTTTTTGTTTGTTTCAGGTGTTTCCCGGCGGATTCGCGGACCGCGGCCTCAGAGAAGATTCGCGAACGCGAAACCCTAGTTTTCCGGCGGCACCAAGGTCCCGTTTATCCACGCTTGACCTGCCAATTGAGCGCAAACAAAAGAATCGCCGAGGAAAACGGGAAAACGGAGCAGTCATCGGAGTTTTCCGTCGCGCGCAGACCCGATGCGCAGCGCCGTTTAACCGGTCACCGCCGCGAGTGTGACTCCCGCTGCACCGGCAGACAGCCGTTCCAACCACCCGAAATTTAACCAATCGGAAGTCGTGTTACGTTTTTTTTTTTTTTTTTTTTTTTTTTTACATATGAGAAAAGTTCATAGTCAGTTTTATCGATGAGATTTCTTTTTTACAATATGTGATCAGTGTCGGTCAAAGCATAGTGAATCGGACATAACAACTAAATCAAATCAGTCGATTGAGGTTTACGCTTTGAAAATCCATTATCAATTATCGTAATATTTTGCCTCGTCGTGGATTTTATCCATCTCTAAGAAGATAATCCGTTTCTTGCCCAGTTTTAGTGTTAAATTTACATGTCAACCGTGGATCGGGAATAGTGTCGGCCAAAGCTTAGTGAATCGGGCGGAAATCAGACGAAAGACGTTTACCCTTTAAAAAATCTAGTCTCAACTATAGATCGATATCTTGGGTAAAATTTAAGGTTCCCAAGTTTTCCTTCGATATAAGCAAGGCGATCGCGTATGGCGTGAAGAAGGACACTTCGAAGATAGCTGCATCCCTGGAGTTCACGGATCGAAGTGGACAAGGCACGACCTCGCGGGGAGCGATAGATGATCCCTCGGGAACCGCGGACGAAGCCGCCGGCAGCGCCCTCTCACGTCCGCTTGAAAGACTAGCCTCCATGGTGGAGTGATCCAGAAAGCGAGGATGCTGAAGCTTTTCCGGCGCGGGACGTCCCGCTCTCTCGTGGCCGTCCTGCTCATCGCGTCTGTGACGACGCTCTGCGTGTACTATGCCAACAACGGCGGCCCGATCGAGAAGGTGGGCGACGGGCGCAACGGAGGTGGTGGTGGCGGTGGGGGCGTGGGCGGCGGCGGTGGGGATGCGAGTGCCGCGGGGGGTGATTACGGGGACCGCGAGGAAGGGATCCCCGAGGAGTGGGGTCCCGCCCAGGAGACGAAGCCCGGCTGGTTGGAGTCGGACAGCTCCTCCGACCCTTCCATCTGTCCCCGGGTCCCGGAGGCCGTTGCCGACATCGACACCGTCAAGCAGTTCGCCAACTTCGAGTTTCAGGTAAGCTCCACTTTTGCCTTTTTTTTGCCTAACCTTCGAGTTTAAGGCGCATTTCTTAATAATACGTCGTTTCCTATACGGAGGAGCAAATCTAAACAGGTCAGTCATTCCCGCGGGTGAGTTTTGAGAACCTACTGCATATAGAACTGATGAAGCGAATATGTCGTTCTACATGGTTCAAGGAAAAAAAAATAACATAACCTCATGTATTTTGTGTGAGTCAATTGTGTTAATTCATCACAATTTAGTCGTTGATAGGTTGTAAATCAATTGAGGACTCATTGAACGCAAGGAATCTCGATTGAAAGAAACACCTAGACGCAATATACCACCATAGCGTGAATTAGAGACGAGGTATTGTGTCAGTATACAATTATCGGCGGGAAATTTAAATGCAATGCATTTCTTATGGGAGCGTCAATATGACGTCACATTGGCTATGGTTGAGTAAAGGCCGGGCGGCTCGTAGATTCCAAAAAGATGCGCAATGACTAACATGAATGTATTGGTCCTAGTAATTCTATTCCAAGGTTGCAATGCTGACTCAAACAATAAATTCTTAACAAAAACTTGTCCAAGCAATTCATATCCATACAATCTGCTAATTTTTGCGTGTAATCCAAGGAAAAATCAGTGAAATCCTCAATTTGAGACGCACAATAGCATCTTAAGAAAAGGTAGATTCGCGGATGAAAATTGTGTAACATTGAAATTTAGTTACCCACGTCCTCTCGCTTGGGAAAAATTTGGACGAGCTGTCCAATTTTCATCGAACAAAAATGTTGTATGGTGACTAACAGTCATCGAACGATCTATTTTGATCGGAAATGGTTCGGATTTTGATCTTGAACTGAGACCCTCAGAGAAAGAGAGAGCATTAAGCCCAAGGTGTACCTTATCAAAAAGAGCTTACACATTATACAGCGCAAAAAGTTTCACCAGCCAGCAAATATCGCCACTGTTTGATTTAGAGAGTACAGTCAAGTCTTTATTCGATATTAGTCGAAAGGAAAATAAGGTCAGGAAGCATGAGACTAACCCCATTTCCCTCGGCTGGTTTTTTAGTTCTTGGTTTTCCTCTATCTCAGGACACGGTAGCTGGAGCCGGAGGCAGTAGGACTAATTCATAGAAATCGTCGCTCGTTAGGAGGCAGTGTATTTTCTGGAGTGGGAGGGACGGAAGTGCAGAATGTTAATTATGCCATTGAAAAAGAATATCGAAGAACGTGTAAGAAGCGCGGGGTGGGGTGGGAGGCGGGGGAGGAGTGCAGTGCCCTCGCCCTCCCTCACCACAATGCTCTGATCTTGATCGCCGGAACTTTGAAAGGCGCGAAACACGAATTTCCCTCCCGCACAGTGGACGCTTTTCCGGGAATTTTCGCCATCGATTCTGAAAAGTTTTCACTCCTGTGGCCTTTATTTTATATTTTCCCAGGTGTGGACCCAGCACCGTTTTCTCAACCTTGTTACGTACAATGTAGTGTTTTTTTCTCGTTTTGTGTTTTGTCTATACTCAACTTTTTTGGGACTATCATCTAAAATTAGGGTTTCTATTCTCTTGGAATTTTAAATAATTCTGGGAATGAACGAGTAGGCAAGGCACAAACTTAAGCATTCTGATTATATTCCGTGAAGTATTCGATGTTTCCATCGACTGTTTTGATATCCATTTTTTTGCCACGTTTTTTTAAAGACGGCCGGCCTGATTGCATGGCTGCATATCGAATGACGTAGCCACTAAATTAGTCTATCAAGAGACATCGAACATTTTTTTGAGTGCCTCTCTCCTATCCCGAGACGTGGAAAGTTCATCTTCACGCAAAACTCGACGCAATTAAAAGAAGAAGAAAATCAAGCAGAAGCTTTTTTTAAAGATTAGGGAAAGTCAGGTAGCCAGAGAATTTTAAAATTTCTAGGAAACGGTCAGGAAAAAGTCAGAGAATTGGAAAATAAAAAAAATCTAGAAAACTTTGCGTGATTTCTGGCGGTCCGGAAAACCGAGAAAATCAGGGAAAGTTGCAGTGACTGGGAAAAGTAAGGAAAGACCAGGAAAATTTGTAAGGAAAGTAAAGGAACTCCAGTGCATCAATCGGCTCGGAAACTTTAGCCTGTTCAACTTCACTGTTCACTCCATTCAAGAGGGTGGATACTACTTCTTATCCATAATTAAAGTCTCTAAGAGTGGAAATTTTCGAAAAGTAGCAATGTTAAGCTTTTTTTTCTGTCTTTCTTTTCTATTAACCCTTTCCTTTTTTTTCAGTTCTTCTTCCTTTTTTAAAAAAGCTTTGGCACAATTCTCATTCCACTGTCAGAGAAATTAAGATAATTTGAAAATTTGGACAAAACTTCTTTGAAAAAACCGAAGAAGAACTGGAAAAAAGAAAAAAGGAAAGAAAGAATAACAAAGAAAGAGAGGAAAAAATACGCTTGATAGTGCTACACTTCGGAATTATCCACTCTCGGAAGTTTTGCCAAATTTTTTATTCGACTGTCAGGGAAATTCAGATAATTTGAAAATTTTGGAGAGAGGGGAAAGCAGAAGAAGTCAAGGGATTTGAAAACAAAAGAATTATGGAAACCTTTCTGTGGCGTTTCCGCCGGCGGTGGACAAGTCGCAACCCGGAGTGCGCCGAGGGAGTTTTGCAAGTCAATCGTTTGAAAACCAACGCGTGTCTGTCTATAATTAAGCCCTCTCGAAAACTTCGCAAGTTGAGAATGTCCCGGTTGCGGCCCCCGGGGCTCCCGGGACGGACAAAGAATGCTGCGCTTTAATGATGGTCGTTCGGGGGTAGTTTTACAATGAATTAACCCCCTCCCCCGCCGGGGCCCGCTTCTCACGACAAAAGCCCTTCAACCAAGTTTTGCGCTTCACTTCCTGACTTTTTTCTCTAAACACTTCCGCCCTTTCTTCCGGCTTCGACCCGGCAAGTTTAAACACGAGGAGTAAGCCTTTACCGTTAGGAGTCGATCCGCTCACCAACTTATTAGTTTTATTTGATTTTCATGTTTCTTCTCGTTTCCTCAGCTAATGATCTTAAGGGACCCCTCGTCTCCGGCCCAGAGCTTGGATATTAAGAAGATAAAAAATTTAAAGGAAAAAAATCAAGTCTAGCCATCTCCTCAGATTGGAAAGAGAAACAAGACCGTACAAACAAGGCTTTCATTCATGAAATATACCAATCACCCCTCATTAGAATGAAACACTGTGCCAAGTACACTTGATAAAGGTCGGACATATAAACTGAATGTTTGTCGTTCCATATCAAACGAATTTATTTGCTTTTACAAAGAAAAATTTCAATTCGGAGGATCCTTTTTGTTCGCGTGATTTACTTTCCTCGTAACAGTTCGAAGAGGCAGCATAGAACGCGGTGTTTCAAATCATTCTTTTCTAGTGATTCATTGGAAAGGTGACTTTAAGTTTTAAAAACAAAACATTTTACGGAACTCTTTTAGGTAACTCTAACTTGAAACTCTAATTTTGCCGCCCACCCAAAATATATGGTTGAATTAAGTTTATCCCGGTGCACTCTTTTAATTGTAAAGTTGCTATACCATAAACCTCTTAATTTTAACTATTAACCATTAGCCAGCGTTAAAAACAGCGCTGGCTAAAAACAGGTTGGATTGATATGTTTATTTCTTTTTTTTCGTGCATTTTACAATTCGTATTATACCATGCATTTGAATATTGAATACAGTGTTAAATTAAATGCATCGATATAATATAAAATAAGAAAAACATGGGAATAGACAAGGTCAGAAAAATACAAAATATGTGACCGATCAAATTATATTAATAAGAATTTTCTGTAAATTGTAAGAGCCTTCAAGGTAGTTTTTTTCAACCACGAACCGTTATGTCTGCAGTCCCCACACCGGTTTCCAATTTCCTCCTAGATGCCTTAAATTTTGTGAATTTCATCTTTAAAATGGTACTGCTAGAAAAACTGAGTACGAGGGTAGCCTTGGTTTCTGAATAGAACAATTATTGGAGAAAATATAACAAAATAACCTAATCTGCTAAAATACATTTGTTTAAATGGAAAATGCTGCCAAATGACGTCATAAGGCGGCACATTTTCTCTTTTTTAAATCAATTTTTCTCCAATTTCCCATGTCAGAAAAAAATTATGAAAACTACTGCGAACGCAGCTCATTAGACACTCTCAGATGAAGCAATACAATTTTTGTGTGCAAATTATCTTCTACTACCATGTTCAAATTCAGGGGCTATATGGAAAGACTTCGCCCCTTTAACGACAACGTCCGAATAAAATCAAGCCGCCAGCGCAGCGCCAGCAACAACCGATGCGAAAGCAGCACAAGGCGCACATACAACTATTTTAACGCTGCGGTCACGCGTGTGGTAGGTCAAACTAACTGAAGGCGTTTTTTTATGCGACTCGCGCCACGATTCGATTCATTCCTCATTCCTGTGGATGTTCGTGCAGGCGGACGGTTGGAACTTCAATGGAGCGCTACGGCATGCGGTTTCTCGTCGCTTCCACTTCCAGTCGCCTTAAATTGATTTGCAACCCGTCCATTTTACATCTATATCCTCCCCTCACCTCGTAATATCCGTAGAGGTTTCACTGTTGTGTAGTTTTAAAAATCAACTTCAGTTTTAAATCATTATTTTAGTAGGTAAATAAGATTGTTCAACAATTTAAAACGGCGAAAATGATAGGTTTTTCACCGCACTACAGGAAACTGAAGAGTAATTTAAAAAACGGAAACACCAAAAATAAAATATAAAACACCAATATCTTTGTGGTTAGTCGAAAAAGCTCAAACTTTCATAATTATTAATAGTTAAAGAGATATAACGCTAAACTGCAATTTTAGAATTGATTAACTTCTCCCCATATCTTAATAAATAAAGTGCCTGATAAAAGGGTTAAATTGTAAATTTAATTATAAGTTTATTCTTCTTTATTAAAATTTAAATTAGCAAATTTAATTTGTTCCATTAAAAAGTTGACTCAGCATCCACTTGC